ATCTGACTGAATGTCCCAAAGAACAATCAACTTATGCACAGGTGCCCCCCAAAAACAGTGGGTTGTCCCTCTGCAGGGCTCTGCTCACTGTCCCTCTCACAAAACCCTCTTTAGGATGTTTCACTTTCAAAATTAGAAATTATCCTTGTCCCACAGCGGAGCAAACCCAGACTAATCAAGTTACTGCTGATTTACTTCATGTGATTTCATCACCTCATCTAGAATTTCTTCTGGAAATTAGAGCAAAAAGAATGCTTATCTCAAAAAGGAGGGTATCAAAGGAATTAGAATCATGTTTCTACTTTCTTTTTCACCGTTGGAAAAACTATATTGGAGCCATAAAAAGATTTCCATCTAAGAACAGAGGTATAAATTTTGTTGAGAACTGAAATAGCATTTATGATAGTTGAGGAAAAATAGTGAAAATTCCCTGCTTATCACAATCTTCCCTTCAAGTTGAATTCCTTACATAATTTTTTACTTCTTAGATATTATTTTGTGAATCACCTAAGATACATTTATAAAAATAAAATAACTAGGAGGAAACAAAATAGGGCAGTTGGCAAATTTCAAGAATTTATTTTTAAGGCAGTTTTTTCCTCCTCCACTTCAGATTCATTGATAGTTTATACCAGTACCTTCCCTTTTGCTTCTTGCTTAAAAAGGATTCCAAAATTCATGAGGGCATTTCCTGAGAACCGATTTTATATGAATGTGACACCAACGTGGTAGAAATGGTATTATGGAATCATTACCTGGATTGACTGAGTTCCAGGATTGGTGGTATAAAGGTTTCCCGATATCCAGTCTAAGGCCAGGCCCGTAGAAGACCCCAACATAGACAGAGAAGCAAACTCGGTCCTGTTAGTGCCATCTGTCTTCACTCTGTGAATTTCACCCTGGGAAGAAAGACAGGAAGAGGAGATGAGGCATTTCCAGACCACAGCTTCTGCAAAAGAGTATCTTCTTCACAGTGCCTAATGTCAACTGCTGTGTTCCTTTAGCTGGCCCCAGAAAGCAAAGACAAGTACAAGTTCAGCTCCACTGGTCAGTTGAACATGTACAGTGCTAAGGCCAGCAACATTTTCACACTGATTTTTAAGTGTGTGATGGGAATGTACAAGGCTTTGCTATTGAAAAATATAGAAAATTATTTTTAAAAATACAGAAAAATTTCTGGGTCATTAAAATAAAACAAACAAACAAACAAACAAAAACCCAAGTCACAGATGTAGATCAGAAGGCCAGGATATATTTTTCATAAGGGCAACAAAGATCAAATAGAAAAATCATTTCTTTCTTCTTCCTTTATATTCTTCTTGCTCTTTCCCCATCCCCCAGAGAGTGGTGGGGAGAAAAGGTCCCTAGTGGAAGGGAATTGGAGGAGTGTTAATTCTTAGCCTAGAGGCAGATTCTGAACAAGCAGCCACATCACTTTCCTGGAAGCCCCTCAAGAAACCATTACTTTGGTCTTGAATTATGGACATTTTTATGTCAGTGTGATATTTCCTACTTAGCTGAAGTCTCCTTCTGGGCAATCTTTGTAACTGCTGCTTCTTAGAATATATTCTGTGGTAAGAAACAGGTAGTTCTGTACAGGGCAAATTATAGGAACTGATTACATACTTACTGAATGAATAAATAGTTTACACTTGTTCACTGTTCTAGTGCTAAAGATTTTTTTGATCTTTGCTCCAGGCCAAGGTCACATTTACACCCCTCTGATCAAAAACCGTTCTGGACCCAACATTCTTTGCTGGTAAGAAGACAACAGTGCAGACAGGCTCTTCAAGAATAAATTACATACAGTACTTTGAATGTTATTCAGGACTTACCGGATTCTCAGCCCAATAGATGTATTGCTCTGAGTCATCAAATTCAACATCATATCCATTCTTTACCCCTGCTATCGGGACCATAGCATCATTGCTCTTCACATCAGGATTAAGGGAGATTCCAAAAATTATATTTTCTCTTACAGTTATTAAGAAAGGTTGCTCATCTGTGAAAATATTAGAATATCACTCAAAATCATATCCTACTATTCCAAAACATTTGGAGTAAGGGAAGATAGATTTGTTACCATGGTATGGTATGGGCTCAAATGCCATTGCAGCATTCCAGCAATAAACACAATATATGGTAGAAATTTCATCAGGAAGTCCTGGGTCTTCCCATGTGTTACAGTAGGTTGCTAGGTCACAAGACCTCCACATATAACACTGTCTGGATTTTTCCAGGGCTAATTGGTATTTATCTTACTCTTCATTAATTCTTTACTTACAGGTATATACCATTCATGTTTGCTAAACTTCACAGTCAGAAGTTCTACCATTTCCACACCCAGACAAACTTCACCAATACGGAACTCAAGGAAAAGAGAGTTGGGTTTTGCAGAAAAAAAAAAGTGAAAGAAAACTTGTAGATTATTCTTGGTGAACAGTAGTTTATAAGCTATAAGCACATTCAGGTAAAAAAAAAAAAATGCCACCATAAAGTGTTCCCTAGATATTTTAATCAATAAATACAATTTCTAATCTCATCAATTATTACTTAAGTAGTGTCTACCTTCGCCCACTAGATTCTGACACCCAAAGGGCAATGATTGTATCTAATTTGCTCACCATTATGTCCCCAGGGCCTGGTACAGAGCCCAGCATAAAATAGTTGCCTAATAAATATTTGCTAACTTAATGAATGACCATATGACCATAAATGAATTGAGGCATAAGTGAATATGTAAATAATGTCTTCTAAAGTTCTCAAGAATATCTATACATTGCAACTTAAACACCCCTACAATATCCTATTTTAACCTATTAGTGCCCTTTACCACCTTAATAGATAAGAAAAGTTCCTTTTTAAAAAATAATTTAATCTTTATCTAGACTGTAGTCCCATGATCAAATATTTAAATTAATTAAATCCAAGAGTGAGTTTTTATCTTAAAACTCTTCTCTGAGAAAAGGAAAACATACCACTATAGGTTTTATATTATATATTAGATATCACATACTAAGACAAAGCACAAAATGACCAATCATTGCATAACTTCTGTGAGATAAAAATGATGTTTTCATCATTTTGATAATCTGGGAAGCTGTACATCCTCATCAGGATGGCGTTGATGCTTTTTCTTTACTTATTTTCACACCTCATTAGCGTTTCCTGGTTCCTGCTGATCCTACTACTGATGAATAACTCAGTATTTATTAACTTGGCACAAATTTAAATGTAATTTACTGTAAATTTTGCAACTATTAATGTTTTGCATTTCGTAAAGTACTACAAGATATAGAATGTAGCGTTTCACAGCAAGCTTGCAAAGTTGTTTGAAGCTGGGGTGAATGAGATTTGTACTAACACAGGACAGACCCTGGACCATGAACTTCCAAGCCCTTGCCCTGTCCACACTGCCTTGCTTCTGAACAACTACAATTGCCATAATAATCACCCCTTTTTAACTGAGAATTTGCCACACAGAGGGTATCAGGTAAATATCATTGCATTTAATTTATGTCCTGGATGCTTCTTAATCCTGTTTGCTAGATAGTTGTCTCCTCCAACTTGCAAATGAGGTAGACCCCCCAAATCCATATTCTTCATCATGATTGTGCAGGCCAGGTACTCCTTACTGCTCATCAAATTACCATTCATTTCACTTCATTGTGATAATTAAAACATGAATGCTATGAGTTTCAGATGTACCATGAAATTATATCAAATGATTTTTAATTATTTATTATTATATGTTATAAATGCTCATTGCTTCAATAAAAGTAAGAACTATTTCTCAATTTTATAGGGGAGCTTGAAATTTATTCATTTAAAACCTAACACTGCCCTCCATAATGGGTAATCTTCCTTTCGCTTCACTGGGAGTTGATTCTCAACCAAAGCATTGTTCAGGATCTAAAAACTTTGCATGTCTCATCCATCATACATGGGCCTCCTAAACTCCTCTGAGCAGCTCTTCTTTCCTTAAGAACCACCCAGCTCCACGTCTTCCTCCTCCATTATTACAGCTTCCTGGGATGGGTCCCGGGCCCTTTATCGTATGACTGCTGGTGTATTTGAGAAGGAGCATTCGCTGGCAGAGGGCTGCACATCTTTGAATGCTGTGCAGGCCAAAAACGTGAGTAGCACAGTAAGCATGTTGACAGAGGAGCACTGAGAAGGAAGTGGCCAGTGACGGGGTGGTGGCACTGGAGGGTGCGTGAAAAGTGCTACATGAGAAAGCAAAACAAAGTGACTTTACGACGCTGCACGTCTCTCTAAGGGGAAAATGGGTGGAAAACAGAAGGTAGGGAAGGAGAAAAGATGGATATCGGAGAGCTTGTCATTCAGTGAACATTCCTTGGGTGGCACAGAAGCACCCCACGCTGGATAGGAAGGAGTTCAAGAGGACAGTTCAGCTGTTCTGGCTCAGTGAATCTCAGTCTTTTGAAATCCAAGATCATCTCTGCATTTCTATTTTTCATGTCATTATCCTATCAACGTTACTGCTAACAAAGCAAAGAAGAGATCACAGTCAGAAACGGGAGATCAGTGTTGTAATTCAAGAGCAACAGTTATGACCTTGAAAGCGAGGTCCTCCTTCGGCCATTCTTCTTACCTTGAGCATCATCACTGAAGCAAGTGTTCTGTACCCTTTACATAGAGTCAGAAATCTATTTTGTATTTGGGGTTATTTTAGGGGGTGCTGAGATGTTTGAGCTTAAGTTTTGTTTGTTCATTTGGTGCTGGCATTATAGGGAACATATTTTCTTTTTTTTTTTTTTCACATGTAGGATCTACAAATAATTTTATTGAAATTGAACAAATAACACAACACAACAGTCTTCTTAGGCTGGGGGGCACCTTCCCCAAGCCATTCCCACACTCTAGAAGCACAGAACTTGTACAGTATTTTTTTAAAAAGTCATCTCTATATAGTATCAGACTCTGCCAAACATTATCATGTACTAGACTATTTACAAACCTTCACATTTTAAGTATTCCTTTTATGGTTTTACCCCCTCCTTTCTGTCCCTACCCATGGGCTCCAGTACTTCCCCTGACTGATCCTGAAGGGGTGGTGGGCTACTTATAGCTGTTGGCATCAGCCTTACGGTATAGTCCTTTACCACGAGATGGTGGACAGTCCCCTCCCGACTGCAGGGAGGGTGTTGGTGCAAGGCATGGAGGATTAGAATAGGTGGGATGGAGTAACCCCCCATAGGCACAAGCATCCGCAGCCCATCCTGACCCCAGCTTGCACCCTCTCAACTTGGAGGGAGGGGGCAATAACCGGTTGTAGTGGTGATCAGCCTAGTCCTGGGTGGTGGAAGAAGCCTTCCATACCAGTCCCCATTCCTATCAACAGCCAACAGACTGTCTATCCATCTGAGTGGGAACAAATGGCAGGTTAAGTGGGAATAATCAGGCTGGTATTGGCCCCAGTCTCTGTCTAACACAGGAGGAATCGAGGTAGCAAACGGCTGAAATGCTCTGACTAGGAGATAAAAGGGAAGTGAAGGAAAGGAAATTCCCATTTATGTACAGCCCCCACAGCCCAGGGGCTGGAAGAAGGCAGACCTTACTCATAAAGTGCTATAGCCACTAGCAAGGCTGGGCCCCAGGCAAGCTTGGAAGAAAGCAGGCCAGGCAAGGAACCAGGAACCAGGCATTCCTGATGGATATATGCCCTGCCATGCTTCTTGCAGGGATGGCTGGGGAGAGTAGGCTGCTAAGTCTGCCATTCGCCACTGCCAGCCATTAACCACCTCTTGTCCAAACCAACACCCAACCAACATTGCGGGCATGACCCGCTCATAGCTGAAGGTTCCGGCCAATGGAGTTTATTCTGGATTGTGGCCCCAGCCTGGACTCCTCAATGGAATCCACACCTTGAGCTTGGGTTTTTTTTGCTGGGGCAGTGGGTGCTTGTGTCTGCCACCTCCCAGGCTCACACCTCATAGAGGATCACAGGGAAATCCACGTGGATGCGGGGGGGATCCAGCTTCACGATGCCCTGAGGAATTAGATTCTTATGTACCCGCCTCAGCTTGGCCCGCTTCTGCCCGTTCTTGGTGACGATTGTCTCCTCATAGAACTCGTGAGCCAGATCCCCATCCTCGTCATAGAACATGGAGCCGCGGCGCGTGAATACAAAGGGGGGCACGGCTCGACCTCGAGGCCGCACCAAAGCCTGTTCAGCGGCCGCCGCCTCTGGGCTGCTGGCCCCCGCCGCCGAGGCGAAGGGCCACAGGCCCCGAGCTTTGGAGCCGCTGGCGCCCATGTCAGGGCCACCGGCACATGGAGGACCCCGTCGCCGCTCCACTCTCACAGCGCAGTGGGCGCCACCGTCCCCGGGAACATATTTTCTAAAGAATAAAAAAAATAAGGCCGGGCACTGTGGTTCATGCCTATAATACTAGCACTCTAGGAGCCCAAGGCCGGTGTATTGCTTGAGCTCAGGAGTTCTAGACCAGCCTGAGCAAAGCAAGACCCAGCTACTGAGAAGGCTGAGGCAAGAGGATCACTTGAGCCCAGGAGTTGGAGGTTGCTGTGAGCTATGACACCATAGCACTCTACCCAGGGTGACAGGGTGAGACTGCCCCAAAAAATAAAAAAAAAAAAAGAAAGTTTCATACAGACAGAGCTCTCATTTTATAATTTTATAACATATAACATATAATTTTTTAAAAAACAGAAATCTCATAATTCCCTTACCCATCTGTAACTACTGTTGCCTTTATCTGGGTTTTCTTCTAAACGTTTTTACACGGCTGATATTGGACAATTCTGCTTTAGCTGTATTACACAAGCACTCTTCTAAATCTCTTGTTGGAAAAAAATGTGTGACCTTTTTGTTGTTACCATGTATTGGCACACAACTAGTACTCAGAACCTAACTGGGAAATACTGAAAAAGTTCCACCTGAGTGAAGTGAACCCATGGGAAAAACACCAGTGGAATTATTTATGAAAAAAAAAAGATGTTATTTAAAATCATCACCTATCAATCATCATCAGAGAGTAATATTGATTATACCAACCCCCAACACACAGTTCAATATTTGTTGTATTTGAATGAATGCTTTGTATCTAAATGTGTATAACCCAGTTTAATCTCCTCCTGAAAGACTCTAAGGACACACTAAATTAAACAATGTCAACAGGGATTAGGTGCATAATAAGTCTCTGAGGAAAAATGGCAACCGCCAATCCCTTTGTGAGCATTACAAATAATTAAAATCTTTCATCATGAAACTATCACCGCACAACAATCCATGAAGATGGAATTTGATCTCGGTAAGCCTATATCTGCCTAATCTGCAAACACTATACATTTCCTGGATTCCATATATATTTCCCCACTTGAAAACTAAATTTCCCTCTAGATTGGGACTCTATTATCTTATAATTGAGGAAAATGGTTCCACTAAACATTTAATTTTAATTTGTCTGAAGTTATTTTTATCAGCCTCAAAATACATTCACTCTCCTTCACTGACAAATGAAAAAAACCTGGGTTGAGAGCAAATTTCTAGATGTTGAGCAATAGAGAATGACTTTTAAGAAGGGTTTCTGATCCACAAGGATGCATGTCAGAAGAAATCTCCTTCAGGGACTGACTGCACCTTTTCCTTCCGTTCTTATTCCCATTCTTACTACTTTCTTGGTATGATCCTCCACATGCTCTACCAGGGACCCAGCAAAATATCTCTAGGATGAGATGAAGATTAAATTGCTCAAATAACCACATGATATCTCACCCAGAGTCAGTTCTCCTTCTTCAAGTATCAGGTGGGAATAGTGAGGGTATCAAAACTGGAGTCAGCAGCCCAGGCTAGAACACTCATCACTAACTATTGGTTATGAGAATCAAAATGAGACAATGGATATGGACATTGAAGTGAGAATGTTTCCTTCTTAAATGCAGAATTTGGAGCTCAGTTAAATCCCCCACAGCGCACACCTTCCACAGACAACTAACTGCACAACCAAAGGGAACACAGCACATGCTCAGTTTCTAGTGAGATGAGAGTTTCCGCTGCCTGGCACAAACTCTGACCAGCTCCATCGAGAGAGCTCACTTAACAAGAGTACTGTACCTCTCAAGCAGTTCACAGAATCGGCAGAGAGAGTCCATCCTGAAGGACAAACACAGGAGTAAAAATTAGGCCCCTGTGACGAAAGCAGGCACAGATGGCTGCAACGGGCAGAGGCACACGGATTCTCGGCTATATGAGAAAGAGAAGTAAGCTCGGGTGAGTGGAAAATCCTCTGCATTAAAATTAAAACACAGTCATGCTGTTAGCATGCACCCTAAGACACCCCCCACCCCTACCAGGGAGTATCTGGAGACTCACTGCTTTAAGTTACCGCTGTTGTTTTCTTGTTTTGTTTTCCTTACACTACTTTACCCTTTTCTAGCATTATGCTCTCAACATAAAATTCATAAGAAGCACAACAGACAGGAACAATCTCACAAGGTCACAGATCAATCCAATCTGAAGCCATATTATGAACAAATGGCCGCAGAGGGATCCGGAATTTAGTAATAGAATTAGGATGCAAAATAATAAGTTTCCATACTTGACCTAAAAGAGATCTTTTCACATTAAGTGAAAGTTGTGTGTTTGCAGGGTGACTTCGACCAGGTTTTGGTCAGATAATAATCTTTTATTTTTCTACTGATGACATCTGTATGTCTCTGCTCCTTGAAGTGAGGAATCCTGTCTGCATGCTCTTAACATCCCCTCAACACGTTTACAGAATGTTCCTAGGTCCTATTATTCTTATCACATATACTGTGCTGGATAATTAATCCATTCATTCTCCCCAAATTACTCAGCATTCACTATGTATTAAACACCATTCTCACCACTGAGGATAATATAAAAGTGGAGTATATACTTCAGCAAAAAGAGACAGAACTAAACTCATAGTGTGTGTGTGTGTGTGTGTGTGTAATTTCAGGATGTAAGGTTAAAGAGCAAAAAGAATTATGAGGGGGTAGCTACTTTAGGTAAGATGGTTAAGGAGAGACTCTGAGAAAGTGATGTTTAGGCAGAATTCTAATTGACCCGAAGAAGAAACTCTTGCAGAGATCTGTAAAGGAGACGTTCCAGACAGAGGGAGAAGAACACACAAAAGTTCAGAAGCGGCAAGTTGCCGGGCGTGCTTCCAGACCAGATGGAAGCCCAGTGTGGTCAGAGTAAGAGGGAGAAGAGACCAGGGAGGAGCAGCAGGGGCCAGATTCTGATGTGTGATAAGTCGCTAACAGAGGACTTTGAGGAGAGAAGATTAAGTCTCCTCCCACCAGAAGTACACTAGTAAGGCCAACTCTTTACATCACCTACCCACACGCCCCACATACTCTGTGGCTCACGGTGGCCCCAGTAGGACACTGACAAGGCAGTGGTGCCTGATGAATGAGTCCTATGCTGCTTCAAGCCAGAGTGGCAGCAGTAAGAGGGGATCTAAGGTACTATTGAGGCTGTACTATATTAGCGAGCTACGGAAACAGACTCAGAGAAAAGGCACGGGGCACGGAGGCAGTAGCCAAGTGCTGAATAAAATGACATAATTCAGATGATCTGTTGTTACATTCAAGGTTCATGTTTTCCCTGGTAAATAAAAGTATGGCAATGTTAGGAACTGGGGAAAGTATGGGGTGGGTAAGGGGAAAAAGAAAATTTATTGCCCAAACAAATAGGTTTGCAACAGTGTGCACTTAGCATTCCCAGGATGAATGTTTTTCCCAGCTATTCCCAGGCAGGAAGTTACTCTGCATCACTTACAACTCGGCTGTTTTGAAGGATGGACTGCAACAATCCCCAGGGGCCGCGGGACATTGAACATTAAAACTGACTGGTTCCCTCCATGCCACTTGTTGGCTTGCATAACCCTTTGAGTAACACCGTTACTCCAGTACACAAAATCCTCGAAGAGAGTTAGGGCGTAGGAACGCTGCAGAATCTGCAAGGCAGAACGCAACACTGAGTCCTCACCCAGAAACAAAATCCAAGTGAATTCAGTCAAAGAGGATGTCTGTTCAAGAACATGGTTTTCTTTTGTACGGTATTACTTAATAAAACACAGGAACCCACTGTGCAAGAGAGAAACAAAAATTATGCCACTGTCCTACATCCCACTATCCCACTCAAAATACTTGCACTGCACGTACACCTGTCAATTCCTCTTCATGTTTACCTTGGGATTACACAGGGCATCCATTTTACAAATGAAACAAACTGAAGCACAGAAAGTAAGGTGGCATTTCTGGATCACCTACTAGTTAGAGAGGTGAGATGCAACTAGAGAACTTAGTTAGAGGTTCCTCATCCCCTACGTCACGCCCCAGCCCCAGCCCCCGCCCCAATCCCACCACTCCTAGTCCTGGCTGTTTCTCCCTCTTGTTCTGCCTCTCTCCACTTTAATCCAGTCTGTTCCAGTTTAAGTGAGGATTTCCTGAAGGCAGGGAGGCCCTCCCAGGGTCTCTTCATGTTCCAGGAACTACAAACAATGGTAATTTTAAATCAAAGTCAATAACAGTTTTTTGATAAAACACATATTGTCTGCATTTTCACATTTAACTTGTGAAAAAAAATTCAACCGAACTTACTAGATAAAAAAGATTAACTATAAACAGGTTACAACTTAATCAAGAATGTAGATCTAGTTTGCTTAATACAACATTTAAAGGTATAGAAAGAAATAGAATCACATCTACACCCAACTAAATCACACAAGCTATTACTCCTTACTGGACATGGCACAATTATACCAGGAACTGAAATAAAAATATTTAATTTCCTATTAGTAGCAGAGGATAAGTGGACCTGATAAGTTCTATGGCACAAAAATTAACTTCTTAGCATTCCTGATACTTGCCTGCTTTCTATGTATCTGCTTCTATAGTTTATTTTGGTTTTACTCACCACCAACTTACCAAATCACTGGCTATCACCTGCTTCCGATGGTGCCCATTATAATCACAATAGTCTATGTAATCGAGATAGGCGTCCATGAAGTAGAGCAGTCTATTGGGGTAGTCAATGGTCAAGCCACTGGGCCAGTGGATCTTGTTCTGGATAATGACAGTGCGCGAAGTGCCATCCATGCTGGCTCGTTCAATACGAGGGTGTTGACCCCAGTCAGACCAGAACAGTACATGTTCACTGTAAAAAGAAAGGAATTACCAACTGCAGGGTACATATTTCAATATGAAAAATATTACAACTGTCATTTCTAAATAATACGACAACTTCTTGTTTGTGCTCTGCTTAAAATAAATCATCCCCAATTCTGATTATATACACAGAATATTATTCCCCTCTGGGTGTCACAGAGTAAAACTGTAATCATAATGCAATCACAAGCTATCTGGATGTTTTCAGATTGTTCATAAAACATGCAGTTCCCTATGGCATTGAAATGCCTTGGCCCATTCATGTTTGTGTACAACCCACAAATAGTTGATGGGGAAAATCCATCTGTTCTTGTTTGTCCACCCTGTCATGTTTTAGATAAGGGAATCAATTTACTCCTTCTGAGATATTTGCCATAAATCT